AAGTGCACGTGATGGTACTGTTCAGCAGGTGCACGCTGCTGTGCGGTGCCTCATTAGGTCTTGCTCATCCTGCCTAACTGAGGCTCTCTACTCACTGTAGAGCAGCTCCCCGACCCTGTCCCTGTAGTCCCTGGAAGCCAGTCTCCTTCCTTCTGAAAGTCCCCTGGTTTTTGGCTTCTTATCAAAGAGCCGTGTATAGTACTTATTCTTCTGTAACTAGCTTGTTTCATGTTCCATCATGTACTGGTGGCTCATCCATGCTGCAGTACCATGAAAGGGTTTCCTCTTCTTTTTTTTAAAAAAAATTCTTTATTTATGAGTGAAACAGAGGAATCTCTTCCACCTACTGGTCTGTTGGTTCACTGCTCAGATGTCCAAAGGCTGGAACTGGACTCCAGCTGTTCGAGTATGGAGTGCACTCATCTAAGTCACTTTCTAAGCACTGCAGCAAGCCCCATCTTTCATTTCCTTCATTTTAAAGGCTGAATCACGTTCCATGATGTATATGTGCAACATTTTCCCTTATCCATGTGTCCATGGACTTTTTTTTTTTAAAGATTTATTTTTATTATTTTTATTATTGGAAAGGCGGATATACAGAGAGGAGAGACAGAGAGGAAGGTCTTCCGTCCAATGATTCACTCCCCAAGTGAGCGCAACAGCCGATGCTATGCCGATCCGAAGCCAGGAGCCTCTTCCTGGTCTCCCACGCGGGTGCAGGGTCCCAAAGCCTTGGACCGTCCTCGTCTGCTTTCCCGGGCCACAGACAGGGAGCTGGATGGGAAACTGGGCTGCCGGGATAGAACCGGCGCCCATATGGGATCCTGGGCCTGCAAGGTGAGGACCTTAACCACTGTGCCACCGTGCCGGGCCCGTGTCCGTGGACTTTTAAGTTATTTCTAACTCTTGGCTATGATGAATAATTCTGATAATGAATTTAGGAATGTCAATATTTCTTGGAGATCCCATTTCAGGCACTTTGGGTAAATAGTCAGAAGCAGGATTGCTGGATCATTTGGTAATTCCATTTCAGTATATTATATTTAAAGCTATATTTATTGTACTTGCAAAGTCAACTTAGTGAGAAGGAGAAAGAGAGAGGGAGAGATCTTCTATTTGCTGGTTCATTCCTCAAACGGCTGCAGTGAACAGAAGAGCTTGGACAGTCCAAAGCTGAGAGGCAGGATCCTCTTCTGTGTGTCCCATGTGAGTGTAGGGTCCAGAGCCATGGGCCATCCCTCACTGCTCTCCCAGGCCATTGGCAGGAGCTGGATCAGGAAGTGGACCAACATGGGATGCCAGGGCTCCAGGGTGGAGGATAAGGCTATTAATGCCACCATGCCAGCCCCTCTGTTTTGAATTTTTAGAGGAATGTCCCTAGTGTTTTTCATTGAAGCTGCACCATTTTACTTTCCCAAAAATGTTGCATGGAAGCTCTAATTGCTTCACATCTTCATTTGTATTTGTTATTTTTTGATTTTTATAGTGAAGATTCTGCAGGTATGAAGTGATAGCTCATGTCGGCTTAGTTTGCATTTCTCTTCTGGTTGGTGATACTTCGGCTCTGTTTGTAGACCTGGGGGCCATTTGTGCTTCTCACACTACACCCTGAAATCAACTCAGTGTGAACTGAAGGATTCATTAAGACTGAAAACTATAAAACTCTTAGAGGAAAACACATGAGGAAAGTTTTATAACATTAGTGGTAGCAACAATTTCTTGGCTATGATACCCAAGGCAAAGCATGTGCAAAGTACCACCTCGTCACGCTAGAAAGGTTCTGTGCAGCAAAGGCAGCAGTCAGCAGAGTGAAAAGGCAAAGGGATCATCGTCTGTAATTCTTGTGGAGAGGACAACCCATCCATCCCAGGATGGGAGTCAGAAAGCTTGGCCTGCAAAGGCCCATGACCACGTGGCCTCGGTTATGTTGCTAATGTTGCAGTGATAGCACTGTGGCCGCTGTGTGTGTATGTGGGTGTGACTGTGTCCCAGTGAGCCTGGTTCACAGACTGTGGGCAGAGGGTCACGCTGGACAGGAGCAGGGTTTCTCAGCCTGGGGTGTTGACAATTTCCTTGGAGACTCTTGCTGGAGGATAAGTAGTGGGGACTGCCATGAGCCATTAGGATGCAAATAGTATCTGTGGCTTTGTTCCCTGCCTCCTGCACCCCGCCCTGCCTGCCAAGGCTTATAGCCACTCTTTCTGTTGGATCCTATTTGTGACAATGCAGAATAGCTCCAGACTTCGCTGAGTGTCCTCAGAGGGGCACAATGGTCAGGCATAGAGAACCTCTTATCTAGGTGATCATTATAATCTGGTGAATAGTAAGAGGAACTAGTTCTCTAAAATGATGCAAAGTAGGGTCATATAGAAGAATGAAGAGTCATGGTGCGTATTCATTTTAGGTAGGTCAAGGTCTTCTCAGAAGGGCCATTATTGCTGCCTAAATTGGAAAGTGGTTCGAAAATAAATGGCAACATACTTGAAAAGTGCAGTGTTAATAATGCAAATGTGAGCTTAACCTACTTTCATGATGGGCACAAGCAACAAAGCTGTTCAATGCATTCACAGATTCTAATGGGACTTTCTGAGTTTGAGGTTTGGCTTTGTGTTGGAAAGGCTGGGAAAAAGCTCATAATTCTAATCCCTGTTTGAGTCAGGGCTTATTTTTTTCTGCTTATCTGAATTTAGAATGAACACAGGGTGGTTTTTGAAGCCACTCACATGTTTCTCATTGTTTGGACAGGGCTGGACAATGATGGCTTGGTTTCATTGCAAATTGGCAGGAATACATGTTTTTAAAAGTTGAAAACAGCTGAACGCTCACGAATGAATCTCAAAGAATGTTGTCTTACCCTTTAGGATAAACACCTGTCTTGCAAATAGAAAAACAAAGCCATTTGTATCAAGAAATTTTTGTATTTATTCATTGGAAAGGCAGAGTTAGAAGAACAAAGAGAGATTGGGAGAGTGGGGAGAGCTTCTATCTGCTGGTTCACTCCCCAGATGACTTCAGTGACCAGGAGCGACCAGGCCAAAGCCAGGAGGGGCCAGGAGCTTCATTTGGGTCTCTCGTAAGGGTGCAGGGACCCAAAAACTTGAGCCATCTTCCATTGTTTTATCCCAGGCCACTATTAGGGAGTTGGATTGTAGGTGGAGCATCATGGGACATGAACTGGCACCCACATGGAAGGCCGGTGTCACACGTCATGCCTTTATCCACTCTGTCAAAATCTGGTCCCTCTATTTTTATATTTTTAATCATTAAACAATTGGATTGAAGTTTTTAATACTCCAATTATATAATTATATTTTCTAATAAACAGCCAAAATATGCATTTCTTCTAGAATTCCGCTTAAACCTTTTGAACTAATTTTCTTTTCTAGTTTGTCAGGAGCAGAATGAAAACGACTGCTGTGTTCTCACTTTTGTGTGAACACTTAGAAAGTTAGTTCCATGGAAATAGAGAGTAGAATAGCGATGACCAGAGGAAAAGAGAGGAGGAGTGGAGGGAGGCTGAGGAGGAGGGTGTGACTGGGCGGGAGGAGTAACTCGCAATGCTCGGGTCACTGATGGAATACAGTCTCGTGTGTGTCTCAGATGAGCCGGTAGAGACCATCCTCACAATGACGAATGGCATCAAATATACAAATTAATGTAATTGTCACATACCGTGTCCATGCATAAAAATATTTCACTGTGCCCCGTAAAAAGTACTCTTAGGTGTCGACTGTGAGTAAACATACATACAATAAATTGTCAAAAAAAATACAATGAGAACGTGAGGCTACATTTAAAAGTTTGTGGAAAATACTATTTGGAGGCAAGTGTTCTTCAGTATCAACAGTTTTGAAATTAATGCTTCAGCGTCTTAAAATTCACGGAGAATGTGTTTGATGACAGAACTATATGGATTTCAATGCTCTGCATTAAAATTAACTCTTATTCAATTTCCGTGAGTTTTTTGTTTTTAACTTTTTGGTTTTTTTTAAAACCAAAATTTATTAATAGATTAGATTTTCAGAATCACAACAAGTGTGTGATAATGACTCCAACACAATTTTCATTGTTTCCCATCTTCATGTGATACCAATAAAAGAGCACTGTCATTCATAGATGTAATTTTAAGAATGGAATACTAGTTTTTCTTCCCCTTCCTACTTTGATAGCATACTTTTATTCACATGATAGCCAAAGACTTAATGCTCTATGAAATAGAGGGTTCAACAAACAAAAAAGACCCTAGCTCAGTGTGAACTTTTTGAAGAGTTTTTAAATAAAATGTCGTTTAGCTAAAGGACTTTGCTCATGGATGTGGAGGAAAAGTTGGGTTTTCTTCCTCAGAGGGCAGTGCTACTCCCGTGATGGAGACTCTGCTGTGCTCTCTGTTCCATCCTTGGTTGGCTGACATGCTCAAACACCAGGCTCCCCAACATCAGTGCCATTGCATATGCAGTGCTAAACCATTCAGTAGATGGCCAGTGGGGTCACGTCTCTGATGTGGAGCTGCAAAAAGCTGTGTTCATGGCAGATTCATTCTTCTTGACCTTCTCCCACATTCATGACACAATAAAAACAAAGATTTATTTTGTTTAGTTGAAAGGCAGAGTTAGACAGACAGAAATCTCCCATCTGCTGGTTCCTTTTCCAGATGGGCACAATAGCCAGGGCTGAACATGTGGCAGCTAGGAGCCTAGAATTGCATCCAGCTTTCCCGCATGGGTGGCAGAAACCCAAACACTTAGGACATCTCTGCTGCTTTCCCAGGCACATAAGAAGCTGGATTGGAAGTAGACTTGAATTGATAGCCATGTAGGATGCTGGTGGTGGAAGCAGGGCCTTCATCCACAACGCTGGCCCTGAGTTTTGTGATTTTTATCCCAAGAGTCATGGTTCTTTGAGATCTGGTATGTCTGCCCTGCACTTCCCAGTGAGTGCAGGTGATCTGCTCTGGGTTTTATTTGGGATGCTTTTGACAGTGTCCCCTCTCTGTTCCCTAGGTTACCACGGCCTCTACTGTGAGGAGGAGTACAATGAGTGCCTCTCTGCTCCTTGCCTGAATGCGGCCACCTGCAGGGACCTGGTTAATGGCTACGAGTGTGTGTGCCTGGCAGAATACAAAGGTAAGAGGCTATTTAGCCTGTTTGTGCGAGAGCAGCTTTAAACAATGCCATGGCTTCTCTATGCGAAAGCACAAACCTCTAATTGGAGTGTGGATTTATCTGGAATGAACATGAAATCCTGCAGCTGGGATGATTTATGGGTCCAGTGATCTCATGAGACGGGTAGGTCTCGTGCCTCCCTAATAGACACTGGTCTTTGTTTTGCCCTTTCCTGATGGTTTCATTCCTGTTGAATGTGCAGGTGTCATCCTCATCGCCTTTCAGCTAAAAGCCTTACCAACACCTGGAGGGGTGGAGGGGTAGTGCAGTTTTGGAGAGAAGAATAAGGTGCAATTAGTCAGAAGAGCCAGGGTGCTCCCCCTGGTCACGCACATCTCACTGTTGAGCTTGGACAAACCTCTTCAGTACTCTGCACTTTATTCTCTCTGGATAAAGCAAGAATAGGGATAGTGATGCTGACATAGATTTTGTAATTTTCCAATAGGAAACTTGGTAGCAGTGGATGAGTTTTTTTAAATTGTCAACATCCTTTAGTTTATGGTAGATTTTTCATGATTTATTTATTCAGTTGAAAGAGTTACAGAGAGAGAGAAAGAGGCACAGGAGGGAGAGATCTTCCATCTGCTGGTTTACTTCTAGGCAGCCGTAATGGCCAGAGTGGGGCCGGGAGCCATGCACCCCTTCTGAGTCCACGTGGGTAGCAGGGACTCAAGCACACAGGATGTTTTCTGCTGGATTCCCCAGGCTGTGAGCAGGGAGTTGATATGAAGTGGAGCATCCAGGACATGAACCAGCATCTGTATGCACCTCAACACCAGCCCCTTATGGTTGAATTTTATACAGGACATTTCACCCTTGTAAAGGAAAAAGGAATATTAACTGGAGACTTCCTGAATATGCTCCTTACACTTTTGTCTTTGCGTCGTTGCTGAAGCAATCATTACAAAAAATGAAAAAATACAGCTGCCTCTGATGACCCTCTGATGACCCATCTCTAAATTCAGATATTTTTCCTAGCCTTCTTTTCTGTTTTTCCTTACTTTTTTCTTTCCTCCAGGGTATTTCAGAATGTTACTTTCCCAAGCCCCATATTAAAATCATCAATCCTAGAATATAATTAACATCACCTTCATCCTTATGAGATAAAACAGTTATCATTTGTAAACACTTTCAGATTTCTCTAATGTTGTACATTCAATAGCAGTGGTTCTCAAATGTGTGTGTGTGTGTGTGTGTGTGTGTGTGTGTGTGTGTGTGTGTGTGTGTGTGTTATGGCACAGTTTCCCTCTTTCACAGTTGTAATTCACTAGGTCTTTGGTGAGGTCTGAGAACTGGAGTCCCTGGTAAGTTCTCAGGAGGCGCTGAGGTCCTGGCCCACGGACCAGACTTTCAGAACTCCTGTTCCTACAGGCTTACTTGCAAAACTTCTGGAGCTTTGCTCTCTTCCCTAGTACTTGATCACATGTTTATCTTGCTCAGAGTTAATCTTTTCCTTATAGTATAAATTCCACCCCTTCTGTCTTTCTAAGAAATTTATTCTGGCAATCATCTTTCTGCACATCGCCTATCTCTTAATCTCTCCTGGCTCCTTTCCTTTACCCTACAAAGAGGTTCACATGTCTCCAGCTCCAAGGGAGTGACATTCCAGGAAGATGGCCAGCTAAGTTCATGTTCTGTATTCCTGGGTCCTGCAGCTCTCTGCTAGGAGGAATCCTTCCATTGGAGAGGGTCTTGAGTGCTTGAGTTTGCTTTTTGAGGAAGGGAGGTGGTGCTGGGAGCCTTTATTCACACCAGGAACAGGAAGTGTAGCTTCCAGGAGAACTGAGGATTCTGTGGCCAGCTAAGAATCCCTCAGCTTGTAGAGAGAAAGTTCCTGCTATGAGGGTACCAGTGTGACCTGTGGGATACCAGAGTCTACTGACCTCTCTCAGAGTGAAGTGGAGCCTGGCTGTTGCCTCAAGGATGTGCACAGTTGGGCTGAAGGGACGATCTGCATCTGTGCACACCTGGGAAGCCTTGAGAACCCCAAAGTGGAAAAGCTCCCACACCCCATGCCATAGTAGCCAGGATCCAGTTGGCTGGTCATCTAGCACTGGGTGGTAGGGGAATGGAAAGCTCTAGCATCATGTCTCTGTCAAGTCTTCCACCCTCACCCTGGCCAGCAACTCAAAAAGAAGCTCAAGAAATGTGCTTTCATCTGTGTGGCAGATGCTCCAGAGGGAAGGGGTGCATAGAGAGCAAAGCTGAACTCACTATTAGAAGTCTGTGAGCTGCCTAGAGAAATTTTGTTTCCAAAGAGAACGGACTTTCAGAATGGCCTAGAAATTGAGGAAGGGAATGAAATGCAACTTGGGATTTCCTGAGACATTTCCTGGGACAAGTTTTGGAACAAAGGGAGATGTTGCAGGATTCTACAAAGTGAGTAGAAGTTACATGTAAGGGTAAGAGGTCAGCCTTGAGCAGCTCGTGCCTCCAAGGAGCAGAGCTGAACCAGCATGGCAGGCTTCATTGTGAAGATCATCATTTAGCTTTGAAAGCAAAACAAAGGTATTCCTGACATTGTGGCACTGCATGATAAGCCCTTGCCTAGCAGCATCCCATGTAGGTGATGATCTGAGTCCCGGTCCATGACCTCAATCCAGCTCCCTGCCTATGGCCTGGGAAGGCAATAGAGGATGGTCCAAGTGCTTGGGCCCCTGCATCACGTGGGAGACCTGGATGAGTTGCCAGCTCCCGGCTTCAGGGCAGCCACCGTGGCTGCGTACTTAGTGAACCAGAGGATGGAGAATCTGTCTCTCTCTTTTCCCCTCTCTTTCCCTTTCTTCAGCTCTGAGTTTCAAATTCACAAATAGCTTTAAAACAAAACAAAACAAAAAACAAAGTCATTGTTGTACCTTCAAAGATACAGAAAATGCATTACAAATGCTTTTATAAGAAAATTACTGCTTTCAAACATTTATTTTATTAATAGGCAAGAGGCGGTGGAGGAAGAGAGACATAAAGAGATATTTCATCCTTTGGTTCAATCTCCTAGTGACAGAAATGACAGGGGCTGGGTTAGATGAAACCAGGAGTCTGAAGCTCCTGACTTTCCCTCCTGGGTGGCAGGGGCTCAAGTGCTTAAAACATCTGTTGTTGCTTTCCTAGGTACTTTAGCAGGAGTCTGGATCAGAAACAGAGCAGTGGTTACAGGGATGGGCATGCGTATAGAACGCTGCTATCACAGGCAGTGGCTTAGACCACTGTATCACGATGCCATCTCCAAAAACATTATCTTTAAATGTATTCTCATCTAACAGATACCAAGTTGGAACAAAGATATCCAGACAGGGAAAGATGGAGAACAGGAGGAAGAGTTGGGCAGACTTCTTTAAAGAAGAATCCTTAGCAAGCTGGTGAATAGTAAAGGTGAGGGAAGTCCCTATAGAAAACATTTGTATCTGCTGTATTAATCATCTAGTGCTATATAAAAATAATCACTCCCCTTCAGTGGCTTAAAACCATGCCTTTTATTATCTAACCTGTTTCTGCGTCCACATGCGGCCTGCTGATTCTCTTGCCAGGATCCCACTAGCTGACATCACATTTGAAGTTTGAATAAAGGAGGTTCTACCTGTGATTTACAGCTTAGGCTTCAGGAGGCATCTCACCTGTGGCTGTAGAAGTTGTGATGCGTTGGAACTTGAAAGACAGCCGGGATATGAGAGCCCTACCACTTGCTGTTTGCAACGTCAGGGGAGGCTTTGCGCCCTCTTAAATGTCTCACCTGGTTAGACCAGGCCCACCTAGAATGAACTCAAATATTTGTACCATTGCTACATGCTTTGGAGTGAAAGCTCGTGAGGAGAGGGAATTGTGTAAACACTTGACTTCTTGGGGGTCACCTGAGGGTGTTCCTGCAACACCTAGTTCTCAGGAAATTTTATAGGACCAAATTGAAATTTCATTTTTAAAAAACCAAACCTAGGAGATGATAGGGGTAGTAAGGATTGGAAGTGTGTTGAAGAATGCATCCCAAATAGGCTAACAAAGTGTTTTCTAAATTTTGTTGTGATTATGGAGACATTAGGCTTAGGTATAAATAAGAATTGGTAAAAACTGGAAAGTAAGCCCAAGCAACGTAGTAGTAAGTGGTAGGGTGTGTAAAGCAAGAATGGGGAGGTGAGCAGGATGGGAAGAAGGGCTTAAGAGAGACAGACAGAGGGGCTGAATCCTCTCTGGTTCAGACCCAAGATTCTGTTCTCTTGTGTTTCTCTTGTGAAGCACTTCTGCCAAGCTCTGGTTATGTGTAGCATTTCTCTATTGAGTTAGGAAACTCTCAGATGGTGGTGGCAGCATAGAAGGGTCAGCACGCTGAGCGGTGGCTTTGAAACACAAGTGAGAATTTGGCAGACAGAATCTGCCCAGAAGGCTCCCAGAGAAAGGGAAGATGTGGAATTGGTCCTTATATATGGAAATTGCCAAATTCCTAAAGCGTTTTTGCCAGACAGCTGGCTTGACGCCTGTCTCCGTCTCCGAGTACTCTCGGAGCCATCACTTCTTTGTCTGAGAAATGGGAATAATCATAGGGATCCAAGAGCCATGGTCTGGGGACTGGTTGAAATTTTCACAAAGGGAAAGGGAGAAACAACAGTTGCCAACTGGTACATGCATACTTGGATGTACGTCTTGGATAAGTCAATAAATAATGTGTTGTGGTTGGGTTTTAATATTCTACTTCACAAATGTGTTTTAAACAAGTGTATTTCTTTTCACTTTTTTATGTTTTAAATAAAGTTAATACAAGAATGTAAATTCCTAAGAATGAATTTACTAGGAAGTCAGGCGAAAGCAGCTAACAACATTATGAAAAAGAAGAGCCAGAGGGAGCACTTCAGAGACATTTTAAAGCCCACTTCGGCACTACAGTTATTATTACATTTATATGTTACTGGTGCAGGAATGGAGAGATGAACAAAGCTAAGTGCCAGTACAGAGACCATTGTCTACAGGAATAATGT